ATGCAAAAATCGTGACGGGCCATCCGCGACGTTCACCTCGGATGGCGCCCATCGGCAGTTGGCCTTCAGCCTGCGCACCAGCTGGGCGACGCCTGCCACCCTCGACCTTGGACCGGCCGCCGATAGAAGGGCCCCTGGTCTCGCATGGTGGCACCGAGACCTGCTCCGCCAACCGCGGGCGCAGGTCCCCCTCATATCCTTGTTCGCTGAACAAGTGCGTCGTTGTCCAGGAAGTCGGCTACGAACTCGTTCGCCTCCGACCTGGAGAAAAGGCCCCGCCCCCGTTGGCCAACTCCAAATAGGGCGCAGCCAAGCGCCGGCCCGCTGTCTCCAGAAGCGCCGAGCCCCCACATGAGTGGACCACCGCTAGCAGCCAGAGCAGCCGCTTCGCGATCCCAAGCTGTGGTCTCGCGCCCCACGCGCGCGCTTGACCGGGGCTTGCCGCGGGGGCCCTGGCCGCACCCGGTTCGCGATCCGCGCCCGCATCGCGCCCGCCCTTCGAGCCCTGAAGGTACTTCTCGACGGTCGCCCTCCTCGGCTTCTCCGTCACCTCGTCGTCCGCCTCGAGGTTCGCCAGGTCCGCGCCCCCGTCAACCTTGAAGCGCTCCTCGGCCAGCGCCCAATCGACCTTGGGACGCCACTTGCCGCCGCCTTGCGGGTTTTCGGGGCGCTGCCAGGCGCTCGGACACTTGGCGTTTCGCGGGCCTTCCAGGTAGAGTAAAGCCCCCTGCAAGTCAGCTCCGCCACGGGGCCGTCGATGATCTGATCGCAGGCACACTCGGACATCCTGCGATCCAGCACCATCGCCTGCATCATGACCTCCCGCGCTGACAGTCGCCCGCTGCAGCTCCTTCGACCTCGGCCACTCGCCCAGCTCACCCTTGGCCGTCCTGCCCGACTGGCACAGCTTGTGAAAGACCGTCGGGGCACCCTCGTCCTGGCGCCGCCCATGGGCGTCATCCGCACGTTCTTGAACCTCTCGAGGGCGGCCAGCAGCCTGTCGCGCGGGTTGCGACTCTCGTCCCCGAGCAACTGGAAACGCCCCTGCAGCTCGATATCCTGCCCCACCGGCTCCGGCGAGCCCGGGCTGCCCGTGGGGAGGGTGGGCGACCCCGACCCGACGGTGGCCCGAGTGGAGCCCTGCTGGGCCACGTGCTCGTGCCCGTTGAATTTCGCAATGAAGTCGTCGATCTGGTTGGGCGTCGGCTGCGGGCCCTTGTCAGAGCCAGCGCCCTTGTCCGACCCGCTGCCCAGCGAGGCGTCGCCTGGGGAGCCAGGCTCCGCGACCTGATCCGAGACGCCCCCCTGGGGCCCCGAGCCCTGCGACCCAGCAAGGGCCGCCCGAGGGTTGCGCTCCGCGCCCGCGAGCACCGCCACCGCCCGCTGCAGCTCCCGCTGCTGGTCAGCTCCGCGAAGAGGTGCCGCAAAGAAGGCTCGTCGTCCGAGTCGGCCACCTGGGTCCCCAGGACGCGGCCCCCGTCATCGTCGCTGTGGTTCGAACGTCTTTCGGAATCGGAATCCCCCGACCGCCCGCCGAAGGTCCACGCCCAGCTCAAGTAGCCCAGGAACACGATGCTCCCGACCACGGCGGCCACGTACTCCAGCTCGCCCGTCTTGTAGCACTCCCAGACCCAACCGGGAGCGTTCTGCTGCGGCGGCCTCATAGAACGACTTGCCGCATCGTAGCCTGCCTTCGCCAGCGCCCCGAGTCGGAAGAAACGCCACAGTCGCGAGAGCAAGCAAGAGATGCCCCCCCCCCGCGAACCGAAACTCCTTCGGGTCCACAGCGCGGTGACAACGTTCCCGACGCCGCCAGCCACCCAGCTCACGAACCCACTGCAGCTGTTGTGACTTCTTCTGCGTCTTGCTGCCGTTCGTCTTACTCATCTTATCTTCATGGTCCCGCCCTCGTCCTCGTCCTCCAAGCGAGCGATGGCCCGCTCCGCTGCCGTGATGATGGCGTCCTTTTCCTTCGAACTGACGCCCTGGTGCTCCGTCCACGTGACCGTCGCCAACGGCTTGCTCAGGACCCGCTTCTTGTCGCGCGCGTCGACCATCCGCATCCGCTTCGTCCCATCGGCCACCGCCCAGGTGCCAGGATGCTTGGGGCCGGCCTTTGTGACCAGCAACACCACCGCCCCCGTCGACCGGCCGCCGTGACGAACGTAGATGCGGTTCTGGCGGGCCCAGGGCGACATCGGGAACCTCGAGGCGCTCGCGCCCTTGCAGCCGACGTCCTCGTCCTCCGCAGCGCACCCCCGAAGGCCCCCAGCGGGCGGCGGCAAAAGGCCCCACAACCTGCCCTCGGGCACGAGGCACTGGAACTCCTGGGTCAGGATCAGGGCCGCGGCTACCAGCCACCCGCGCGCCGTGGCCCTGGATGTGGCGCCCGTCGGGCGCAGATCCGAAGCAGTCTGGTGCCTCGGTTCAGAGGCTGTGGGCTAGCTGGATCCCGCAGCCCAACCCTTTGAGCCGTCAAAAAACTGCAAGCCACAACTCATGCAAGCAGGCACATACAACATCAACGGCCCTGGCCCACGGCACTGCACACACAAAAGCTCGTTTGAAAACAGATACTTGCATTCTGGGCCTCAACATGCGGTGATGGGTTATCACTCGATACGTCGCCCGCATGGCGCGCGAGCACCAAAACGCGGGCCACCCAAAAACGGGTTGAGAAAAACAACTGTTTCAACTGCATTCTGGGCCTCAACAAGACGTGGCGCATTCCGACTCCATACGTTTCCCGTACGGCGGGACAACACAGAAAAAATCCCCACAAGAAAATAATTCACCCGAGAACAAATTGAGAAATTATCCTGGTGAACGACTCACAACCATGTGCAATTATGAATACCGTGTTGTGTCGCCGCTTTCGGTGGAGCTCCCTGTGGGGCCACGAACCGTGTGAAGGGTGCACCGAAACGGGGCGGCGCCGCCATGTGGACCCTGCTACTGGGGCCTTCGGTGGACATGCTTATGTGGCCACGAACCGTGTGAAGGATGTGCCGAACTGAGCGGCGCCGCCATGTGGACCCTGCAACCGGGGCCTTCGGTCGAACTCCCTATGGGGCCACGAACCATGCGAGGGTTGCGCCAGAATGGGGCGGCGCCGCCATGTGGACCCTGCCACCGGGGCCTTCGGTGCAGCTCCCTACGGGGCCACGAACCGTGTGAGGGGTGCGCCAAAATGGAGCGGCGCCGCCATGTCGACCCTGACCCTGGGGCCTTCGGTGGGCTCCCTATGTGGCCACGAACGGTGTGAGGGGTGCGCCAGGATGAAGCGGCGCCGCCATGTGGACCCTGCCACTGGGGCCCTCGGTTGAGCTCCCACGAACCGTGTGAGGGGTGCGCCAAAATGGGGTTGCGCCGCTATGCGGACCCTGCCACTGGGGCCTTCGGTGGAGCTTCCTGTGGGGCCACGAAGTGCTGTACTGGGTGTGCCGAAATAGGAACATGCGGAGGGCAGAGGCCAGGAGGAGAAGGAGGAAGGAGGGGGAGTAGGAAGGGGAGGAGAGGAGACGCGGGGTGCTGTGCCTTCAAAACGAGGACCCAACACGCCAGGATGGTTGGGAATCATTGTTACATATTGGGCCTCAACATGAGGTGGTGCATTCCGACCCAATGCGTTGCCCGTACGGCGAGACGACGCCAAAGGTGGCCCACAGGCGGATGGGTCACCCGATAACTGGTTGAGAAAAACTTGCATGCCGGGCCTCAGCATGAGATGATGCATTCCCATTCAATACGTTGCCCGTGCGGCGCGCGCACCACCTACAGGTGGGCCACGGGCGGATGGATCATCAAACAACTTGATTAGAACGAACGTTCCATTTGCACTTTGGACCCCAACGCGAGGCGATACATTACAACTCAATGCGTTTCCCATGCGGCTCGCGACCGACAAAAACAAGACCCACAGTGCGGGAGACCCTTGTGCGTTTTACCTACTTGTAGCCGTGTCTCTCCCTCATGCACATGACACATGATGGTACCAAGTGCACTCAAGTACTAGTTGTCCTCTACTCGTGGAAGGAAGAATCAAAATCTTGACGCAGGGTTTGGGGGTTCAGGCATGAGTCGCGACGGCGATCCGCCTCCTCCTCCTTCTCCTCCTCTCACTCCTCCTCCTCCTCCTCCTTCTCCTCCTCCTCCTACTCCTCCTCTTCCCCCCCAGGCGAGCTCGGGGATCTGATGTCTCAGCCGACCATGGAGCGCTCGGCTGACTAATTGGGGGGTGGGGTTTCTCTGTCGGGGGCCCGTCGCGTTGGACGGACCCCCGCGGAGGGCCTGACAAATGTCCTCTCGGATGGACGGCTCCACCCCGTTTTGCTTCTCCGCCCCTTGACCTCTCCCTCTATGGGCAATGAACATCCTCCTCCTCCTCCTCCTCATCCTCCTTCTGCTCCTCCTCCTCCTCCTCCTCCTCCCAGGCGGGGTGGCTTCGAGAAGGTACTCACAGAGTAGAAGCTGGCAACATCGGGTCAACCGACCTCGCGCCTCTTAAAGCGAGAACCGCGATCATCGTCGCGCTCGCAAGATTGCATCTCTCTGGCCCAGGCCGCGAAACGCGAAGCGATACTCACGTTCGCGCCCCTGAGGGTGACATGGGTGAGGCGACGAGGAAGACAACTGAAAGAGGGGGTCGGGCACGTCGCACTCACTTTTTACCTGCGCGAGAGGTCGCCCCGTGGCTAGGACAAGAGGAAAGCAGAAGGGGGAGGGAGAAGAGGCAAGGAGAAAGCAGCAGCGGACAAACCACACAAGGCCCCGGGGAAAGCAGCGTCGCACTCACGCCGAGGCCCCGGAAGAAGGACAACCGCAGGCAGTCGCTGAGAAAACGAGGAGGGGCGGGCAGCAAGGGCGCCTAACTTCGCGCCTCGCGCTGCTCGAAGCGCCAAGCGCGAATACAACTCCGCGCCCTCGCGCCGCCCCCCAAGGGCGAACAGGAGGCTGAGGCATCGGAGCCAAGCCGCGAAGCGCGAAGCACGCAACGCGAATCACTCCGCGCCCTCGCGGGCGCCCTCGGGGGCAGGGCAGCGGCCCGGCCCAGGGGAGGCGGAGAGGCACACGCCCGTGGGGCCGCCGGGCCAGCCAGGCGACGAGGGGCGCCCGCCCAGACATGGAGCCAGCGCACCGCGCCCGCGAGGCACGCGCGCGGAGGCGGGGCGGGCCAATGGGCGCACGGAGAGGAGCAGAGGGGGGCACGAGATCCGGGAGATCTCCTGGCTCGGCCATGGCCTGCACCCCTCCTCCTCCTCCTCCGCCTCCTCCTCCTCCTCCTCCTCCCCCTCCCCCTCCTCCTCCTCCTCCTCCTCCTCCTCCTCCCCCTCCTCCCCCTCCCCCTCCCCCTCCCCCTCCTCCTCCTCCTCCTCCTCTCCTCCTCCTCCTCCTCCTCCTCCTCCTCCTCCTCCTCCTCCTCCTCCTCCTCCTCCTCCTCCTCCTCCTCCTCCTCCTCCTCCTCCGCCTCCTCCTCCTCCTCCTCCTCCTCCTCCTCCTCCTCCTCCTCCTCCTCCTCCTCCTTCCCCTCCTCCTCCCTCCTCCTCCTCCTCCTCCTCCTCCTCTCCTCCTCCTCCTCTCCTCCTCCCCCTCCTCCTCCGCCTCCTCCGCCCCCACCTCCCCACCCCCCTCTTGGATGCCCCCGAGGCGGGGTTCGGCCCCCCTGCGCGCGCAGTTCCTGGAGCGGTCGTCGGCGCTGTGCCTTGAGGCCCGGCAGCGCCACAGCTCTGGCATACCTTCTGCGAGCCATCATACGACCTTGGACCAATATGCGGCTCTGGCACGGCACGGCTTCGGGCTGCGCGCGGACAGACCGCCCCCAAGGCACTTGCCGTCGCTCGGACGTCCATTTCCCATGCATGTTTCGGTTTCGTGCGTGGTTTTTTGCTCGATGGTCCAGGATGGTCCTCGATGGTTCTCGCCGAGAAAAAATGCACACGTCCGAGCGATGCCAAGGGCAGTCCTGGCTGGCCTCAGAAGGCCCCCAGGGCAGCCCGAGACGGTCTCAACACCCGAACCCTGGGGCGCCGGGCGCCCCAGGGTCGCGGCCGGAGGTGGCGCCAGGGTGTTGATACCACCCTGGGCTACCTGGGGGGGGCCTGTCGAGGCCAGCCAGGACTACCTGGGGTAACCCTCTGTGCGCCACCTGGAGCCCTGCCATTCTGGCGCTGCGGGATAGCAGGGAAGAGTAGTTCCGCGGAGAACATGCTCCTTTGCCAACTGGCCCTGGCTCATCACAGTAGACACCGTGCTGATCATATAGTTCTTGGTAATTATCGCATTCTGCACAACTCCGCATTTGATGGTGCCACTTTGCACTGGTCACATAAACCGTTTGATCATGTTCTGCGGTATTCCATGCTATCCCATCGTAAGCCCAGCCGTTCAGCGTACCAGATCCATGATCACAGAAACAACTTTTAACTGGCTCATCGTGTAATTGACGCACACCTCTGTCGTAAACGATTGGCCCGGTTACACTCAGAGATGGGCCCCAAGACGACGAATCTCCATACGAATGGGTCTGAAGGTTGCCTACCTGAATCCGAAGCACCGCTTCTAGGTGCTTGCTCCGGGGCGCCGCTGCCAGCAGCTTGGTGTCGTAGAAGCCGCCTGGTGGAAACATGTCCCAACATATATTTAGGGTCGGCTTAGACATGTCCAGCCAGGATGTTATCCGCCATCGTGCCGCGACAAGGCAACGAGTGGAGCGCCCTCAGGTTCTCAAGAGTCCTTGGTCCTCGATATTGGGCACAGTGATGTGAGCCCTCTTTCCGAAAGAGACCAGACAACAATGTCAAGATGCCAATCACATGGTGCTGCGAGCCCAGCGGGGGCAATAATGACCGATATGTGTATACACTCCGAAAAGTACCAGGGCCCCGATTGCCCGATAGCCTGGGGCGCACCCCAAGAGACCTCGACACGCATCCAAGAAACTTCTAGCCCACGACCCAGGCACGGTGCCCAGACCCCGAGGTAATGATTTTTCTGCAGCGGACCCCCAGAGGTCGGGACCCCTCCCAGGAGGCTGGTTCTTTATCCCGAGTTGTCTTCTGACGGCCCCGAGGCTCGGGGAGAACCCTGAGAAGCAGCACATCAACCCCAAGGACATCCGCAGTGATTCTTCTACGACGCGAAAAATTACACTGGAGAAAAACCCTCACCAGTGGATGGCCCGAAAGTTTTGCAAGCACCATGCCCGGCCGCAGTTTCGCAAGAGGGCCCTAACAGGCTAACTCATTGATTGCCCTTGCGTGTTAAAGGGTTGTGGCATCCTCGCCATTTCGGGCATCCGTGGGCTGAAAATGGCCTAGGAGGTCTTTAAGATTGCCCCAGGACGGCGCACCAGGGCCTGCAGATGACCCAGGCGGGCCTCCGGATGTACCCTCGACGGCCTGAGAGGGCCCCTCGACGAAGAGGGCAACACCACGTCACCACAACGGCCTGGAAAGAACGACCGAGACGGCCGAAAGGACAGCAAGACTGCCGAGAGATAATGTATTGTGTAAAGAACTACCAAGAGAGACAGAGAGAACGAGGAAGAAAGAGAGGGGAATGAGAGAGAGAGAGATGTTGCATAACAAACACGGAGAAAAAAAAACAGCTGACATTAATATTAGATAACGGATTGCGTATCGGGGAAGCACGAAAGAGGGAGACTGACACAGACATACCAAGAGAGAGAGAGAGTGAGGGAGACAAAACAGAGAGAGAGAGAGAGAGAGAGAGATTGAGCTCCCACCGTTAGCACTGATGTAGAGATGTCTAGAGGGAGAGAGAGAGAGAGAGAGAGGGGGCGCCCACCGACAGCCGCCCACCGAGCGCCGCCCTCCGAAATCGGCCGGCTACTTTCGCCAATCTCTCGAGGGAGCGCCCACCGAAAGCCGCCCACCGAGAGACGCCCACCGACAGCGGCCTGCTACTTTCGCCAACCTCTGCTATGTCCGCGAGGACCCCTTCAACGTAAACATTGATTGGGGAGCTTGAGCTCAGAACTCGGGCCTCTGGCGGTCGCTCGACGTGACCCGGGCGGCCCTGGAGCGCCGTCGGCGAGGCGCAGCCGCAGATGAGCATCCCGAGGCTGGAAGGCCTCTGGAGACCCACGAGACCGTCGGAAAGTCTGCGAAAAAACTCAAGAATGCCTCCGAAAACCTATGTTAGATGCTCATTTTGGGGAGCCTCTTGGAGCCTGCGTCGACTCGGGTCGAACCTGAGTCGAACCTGCGTCGAACCTGAGTCGAACCGGCGTCGAACTGGAGTCGAACAAGAGTCGAACTGAAGTCGAACAGATCCGTTCTGTGGGCCCCAGGAAGGTCCCCCCAAACGAGCATCGAGAGAAGGCCTCCGAAAAGTCCCGGGTGGCGGGGAAGGCCTCAGGCCACCACATGTTCGCCGTCAGCAAGACCTTGGCGTCCAGGTACAGCCCGCCGTGCTCCCAGATCACCACGGCTCGGGCGCTGCCGGAGGCGCCCGTGGCCCCAAGGAACCCCCAGCTCTTTCCGCTCCACTCTTAGAGGCCTCCTGGATGGGGTCGGAAGAGATGGGGTCGGAGTATCGCGCCGCATCGCCGATACATCGGCGACATCGGCGATGCATCGGCAACGTCAGCGTGGAGAACATCGGGCTCCACATCGAGCCGCATCGCCGATGCATCGACGACGCGGCGCGATCCTCAAACCTCAAACTCAATCTACCCTGACTCCATCTAGGCGGCCCATCATTCTGGAGCCCCTGGGGCCTTCTGAGCATCGTGAGGTGCCCTGAAAGCCGTGAGCAGAGAAACGAGAAACACGCAACTCACTGCATAAACATCAACTGTCTAAGCTGCGCGCGGATTGCTTGAACAATGGCCCCAACTCCCTGGCGCGCGGAGCGCGCCAGGGGCGGCGCCGCCAGGGGGCCCAGTGCCGGTCCGAGAAATCAGCGCGGAGCTCGGACAATTTACGTTAATGCACGTTGTCCTTCCTCGAATGACGGATGTTCTGGAGGCCGTGGGGGCCTCCGTGGAAACTCCTGGGGCACCGAGGAGGAGGAGGAGGAGGAGGAGGAGGAGGAGGAGGAGGAGGAGCAGGAGGGGGAGGAGGAGGGGGAGGAGGAGGAGCAGGAGGAGGAGGAGGAGGAGGAGGAGGAGGAGGAGGAGGCCGTGGGGGCCTCCGCGGAAGCTCCTGGGGCACCCTGGGCAGGAGCCACCTCTGGCAGCACCCGCCAATGGCGCGCCACACGTCCGAGCGGAACGAGCGGGGCCGCAGGTTGCTGAACGCAGCGTACGCCCCCGAGATTCCGGCCTCTTGTCGGCGGCACGCCCAGCGCGGAAAGTCAGAGCCGAGGAAGAGAAACGATGCACGGGAAACCTCATCCAGTATTTAAGGTCACCCCCCGTTATGGTTAGCACCGCACAAAAAGAAATCTAGGAGGCGATTGGAACCGAACGACAACTGTAGCACCGTGACAAACAACAAAATAATAATCACTGACTCTCCGCCCCCCAGGCTTGTATTCAAAATCTAGCTCTCGTCTCAGCTTCGCGCAACAAAAAACTGCGCGAGTTTCACGGATTGAAGGAGGCTCGCTTTCAAGATGTGGTTCTCGCCTTATCGCCGCGCGCATTCGCGGAAGCGGCGCTGAGGCGGCGCTGAGGCGAGAACCACATCATCTTCCAGGTGCCGGAATACCGCCTCCCGTTTGGACGCCCGAAATGGGCACGGAAACAATGGGCACAATGCCCAACAGCAAATGTTGTCCCACACCGACAGCGGCCGCTGTTGGGCAGGCGGCCTTCTGTCTCGAATGGGCACAGGCCGCGGCGGCGTGGACAACGAGTCCTGTTCAAAATGCACAGGAACTGCTGTCGGGCATTGTACCCATTCTTTCCGTGCCCATTTCGGGCGTCCAAATCCCGGTGCGGCAAGCGTCATCCTTTTGCCGGACAGGGGGGGGTCTTCGATACAGATCAGGGTCACATTGCTGCTGCTCCGGGCGGCCCCCACCGAAGAGCGCGAGGCCAGCCACCCAGGCCACACCTGCATCTATTGCCTGGGCCTGGCGGCCACGGTGTGTACTCGTGACTCGTCGAAGACGCGAGGCTAGGGGGCCACTTGCGAACCCTACCCCCTACCCCCCAGGATTTCTGGGGGGGAGGGTGGGGTTCACTTCGTTCGGGAGCTCCCGAGCGAAGTGAACCCCACCCCCCCCCAGAAATCGTGGGGGGCAGGGGGTAGGGTTCGCAAGTGGCCCCCTGAGGCGGGACGCCCAGAAGGGCTGGAGGAGGAGCGGAGGAGGGGAGGAGGAGGAGGGAGGAGGAGGGGAGGAGGAGGAGGAGGAGGAGGAGGGAGGAGGAGGAGGAGAGGGGGAGGAGGAGGAGGAGGAGGAGGAGATCAAAGGAAAGCCGCGCGGCTCCCCGAGCGGAAGCCCCCTCGCCTTCCCCGAGAAGCCTCCCGAGAAGCCTCCCCCCGAAGCCACGGGCGGCCTCCCTAGGGGAGGGCCTCCGAGAAGCCCCCGCCGCCTTGCTGAGAATGAAGGGGCCCAGGGACGCACAAAGAAAAATATACACACACACACGCATACACACACACGCACACACACACACACGCACACACACACACACACACACGCACGCACGCACGCACGCACGCACGCACGCACACACACAAATCCCCAACATTTCCTCATACCTTCTTGATTCTCGTCTTCCCCCCCAAGTTTCCAGCATTATCCGAGGAATCGACGATGAAATTTGTCTCTGTGCGCGTTTCCCCCACTCCTGAGAGAATGCCGGACCCCTGTGCTTGTGGATGCCATGACAATGGACACTCGAACAATCCCATCATTGAATTAAAAATGCGCTTAAACTGTATAACAAGAGGTTCTGAGCATGTTCCAGATATGTGTTTAACACAGTTGAAACAGATTCGAAACATGTTTTAGACATCTGGGAATGATTTGGCAGCACGCTTCCTCTCAATGAATCACGTCCTCCACAACCCTGTGCCTATTCCCCCCTGGGGCGCGCCGCCGATATTGCTCCAGGTGCTCGGAGATCCGGCGGGCCGACGCGTCGAGCTGCCCGTAGTCGTAGTAGCGGAACTCCGTGCCCGGCGGCACAAACCTCCGGTTGTTCTCGACGACGTCCTCTGGGGGGCCACGTGCGAAGCCTACCCACTACCCCCCACGATTCCTGAGGGGGAGGGTGGGGTTCACTTCCAAGGGCTCCCAGCTTCGCGCTTCGCGCTGCGCGGAGCGCGAGGCGCGAATAGCTT